TAGCTTACAAGTATCTTATGTGGCCGAGGATGAAAGTTGGGTAAGAAAAAACGTGTTTCACACTAAATGCACTTCTCTTGGCAAGGTATGCATGATGATCATCGACAACAGCAGTTTTGAGAATATGGTATTTGTGGAGATGGTGCAGAAGCTAAAGTTGAACATTATCCCTCATCCACATCCATACCAATTATGTTGATTGCTAAAATGAAATGACATCAAAGTAACTAAAAGATGTTTAGTTTTATTTTTTATTGGCAAGTATTATAAAGACGAAGTATGGTGTGATATTGCTCCTATGGATGCTTATCATTTACTATTAGGAAGACCTTAGCATTATAATAGAAGAGTGTTTTATGATGGCTACAAACATACTTATTCTTTTAAGGTGAATAAAAAGAAGATTATCTTAGTTCCATTACAACCTTCCGAAATTAGTGCACCAAAGAAGGAAGTTAGCACTTTTATGTCCTATGGTGAATGCAAAGGTGAATTAGATAAAGGTAGTTATGTTATGGCTCTAGTAGTGGTAGAGGAGAATGAACAATACAAGGAGACACCAGTAATCATGAAACAAATCTTGGAGGAGTTTAAAGATGTTATATCGGAAGAGATTCCACATAGCCTTCCATCTTTGAGAGATATTCAATATCGTAGTGATATCATTTCGGGGGCTATTCTACCTAACAATGCAGTCTACAGAATGAGTCCCAAGGAGCATGGAGAACTTCAAAGACAAGTGGACGAGTTGATGGAAAAGAGATTGATTTGGGATAGCATAAGTTTTTGTACAGTTCTAGTCTTGTTAGTGCCTAAGAAAGATGGTTCTTAAAGAATGTGTGTGGACAATCGCACCATCAACAAAATCACAATGTACTATTATTTTTCTATTCCAAGGTTATATGATTTACTTGATCAATTATGTGGTGCTTATATTTTCTCTAAAATTGATTTGAGGAATAGCTATTACCAAATAAGAATGAGGCCCAGAGATGAATGAAAAATAATATTTAAAACTAGAGAAGACTTATATGAATGATTGGTTATGCCATTTGGGCTATCTAATGTTCCTAGCACTTTCATGAGATTTATGAATCACATACTTAAGCCATGCATTTAAATATTTATTGTAGTTTACTTTAACGATATATTGGTATACAACAAAAGCGAAGAGGAGCATATGAATCATCTGAAAGAGATCTTTCTTATTTTGAGGCAGCAAAAGCTTTATGCTAATTAAAAGAAGTGTGATTTATTTACTTCTAGTGTTATATTTTTGGAGTATGTTGTTTCAAAAGATGGAATCATGATGGATCAAAGTAAGATAGAAGCTATTCTCAATTGGCCAACACTTGCTTCAGTACATGATGTGAGGAGTTTCCATGGCTTAACTTCCTTTTATAGAAGATTCACCAAGGGTTTCAGCTCTATTATCGCTCCAATCACCGAATGTCTGAAATGTAATAAATTTAAATGGACTAATGAGGCTAATGATGCTTTTGAGCTTTTAAAAAGAAAGGTGACCAAAGCTCCTATCTTAGTTCTACCAAATTTTGATAATGTGTTTGAGGTTGAATGTGATGCATCTAATGTGAGAATTGATGCTGTTTTGAGTCAAGACGAAAAGCCCATTACATTTTTTAGTGAAAAGCTAAATGATACGAGAAAGAAATATTCTACCTATAACAAGGAGTTTTATGCCATTTATCAAGCTTTATCTCATTGGAGTTAATATCTTCTTGATAAGCCATTTGTCTTATATTCTGATCATGAGACATTAATTAATCACTAGCACAAGCTAAACAAGAGGCATGCAGCTTAGGTGGAGTTTTTACAATCTTATAACTTTATAATCAAGTACAAATCAGGTGTTCAAAATATAGTTGCTGACGCATTAAGCAGAAAATATTCTTTATTATCAGCAATGAAAGTCAAAGTAGTTAGATTTGAAACATTCAAAGATCTCTATAAGTATGATGCGGATTTCGGCTCAATATGACAGAATTACAAATCAGGTTCCTTTCAATAATTTTTTATCTTTAATGGTTTTCTTTTTCGAGCTAATGCTTTATATGTTCCATCTTGTTCTTTGAGATAAGTAATTATAGTTAAAGCTTACGGTAATGTTTTGGGTGGACATTTTAGTAGAGACAAGACTTTAGCTCTTGTACAATCAAACTTCTATTGGTCTAAGATGTTTAGAGATGTAGAGAGATATGTAAAGCAATGCCGAGTGTGTCATTTGGCAAAACCACGAAGTTAAAATTTTGAATTATACACTCTATTGCCTATGCCAAATGCTCCATGGGAGGATATGAGTCTTGATTTCGTTTTGGGACTCCCAAGGATTCAAAGGAACAAGGATTCTATCATGGTTATTGTTGATAGATTTTCAAAAATATCTCACTTTGTTCCCTACAATAAATCGAATGATACATCTCATATTGCTGATTTGTATATTAAGGAGATTGTTAAATTGTATGGTATTCTAAGAACTATGGTATTTGATCGAGATTCAAAATTTCTTAGTTATTTTTGGAGAACTCTTTGGAGGAAACTAGGTACTTCTTTGAATGTCAACAGCTCACATCATCCATAAACCGATGGGCAAACTGAGGTAACGAACAGAAGCTTAGGAAATTTGCTTAAAAGCTATGTTGGCAAGAATATTAAGTACTGGGGTCTCATTCTTCCATAAATTGAGTTTACATACAATTGTTCTATGCATCATAGCATTGGTAAGAGTACTTTAGAGGTTATTTATGGTACTAATCCTATTGGTTCTTTAGATTTCGTCCCTCATTCGACAACTAAGCACTTTAGTGGAGATACTGATGAGAGAGTAAAGCAAATAAAGAAGCTACATAGGGTGTTAAAGCAAATATAGAAAAGCGAAATGAGAGGTATATGGAAGCTGCTAACAAACATAGAAAACATATGAAGTTTAATGTTGGTGATTTAGTCTGGATTCATCTAAGAAAGGAGAGGTTTCTACCAGGTAAATTTAGAAAACTGAAACCAAAGGCTAATAGTCCATTCAAAGTGCTTAAGAGAATTGGTAAAAACGCTTATAAGATCGAGCTACCTGAAGATCATGGAGTGTCCCCAACGTTTAATGTTGTTGATTTAAGTCATTTTCATAATTATGTTGACGAAATAAATAAAGACTTGAGGACTAGTCTTTTTCAACCAGGGGAGATTGACACGAGAGTGCCTAATTTGCTACAATATACTCATATGGACCTTGTTGATGATATGATATTTTTTTCAGCCAATAATATTGCCTCATAATCTTTAACTCAGCCCACTAAAAAATGACAACTTATCAACATATTCTCTACATAAAGTTAAAGTTGTTTCAAGTTACTTTTCTTCATGACTAAGGAATGCATTAAAGGAGTTGGTTAGCATTTGTAAAATACTTAATTTCGAAATTCCCTATGCATGAGGGGATGTTTCATGTACTAGTATTTATTTTGGTATTTAGGGTTTAAAAGGGATTTTAGAAACTGATGATATTTTGCAGAAGCTCTTTTGGAGTACTCTCTTAAACTCTATATCTCTTGGATGTATTTTTGAGTAGTGAGTCTTTTTGTTTTATCATCATTTATAATCCTTGGGGTGGTGAACTTTCTATATCCTTTTATGATTTTAACTTGGTGGTGAGCTATTTTTCGATCTTATTTAAGTCTTATTGTGAGTTCATGTCTTTTTCATTTCAAACACTCATTCCAGCAAATATAACTGTATTGCGACTTTTTTTCAAGAATTCGTTTTTTTATCTACTATGATTTTTCTATCCGAAATACTCATTCCAACAAACATAGTTCTACTGTTATTTTTTTTTCTTTCAAAATTTATTTTATATTTTCAATCCAAAAACTATATCATCAGTTTTCTTTTAAAATCTATTTTACTTTACTCCTCCTCTACGTAACCTCGGTACCACTACGTATTATTATTTTATAAAATGTTTATTAGTACAAAATAACTAAACGAAATATCTTTCGTCGCTTTGGCCGAGTGGTTAAGGCGTGTGCCTGCTAAGTACATGGGGTTTCCCCGCGAGAGTTCGAATCTCTCAGGCGACGAATTTGTTTTCAATTATTTAACTAAACTTTATTTAAAATCATTAATCTGCGCTTTGTCTATTTCAACTCGTGAGACATCACATGATCATGGGTGCTTTGATCGATGATATTCGTAGATTTTTGTTTTTTTGCAAATTTTAAAAAGAAAATAAATCTTGAAAATAACCCCTCCGATTATTTTCTCTATTTTGCTTTTGGGATCGGGTAGGATGACGAAATGATATCCTCAAATTAACGCGATTTCTCCTTTTTCCTTTAATTTTTCTTGTTTTAAATGGCCACACTATTACGTATGATAGCGTCATCGCCCCTATTCGACTTGTAAGTGCAATTCTTCTCTCTGGGCCCATCTTAGTTTGTAGACCTTATGCTTACCCGTTCTCCGACTGGAGGACACGTTGGGCAAACGGACCATTTTTCTTGAGCGGACGCCGGGTAGATTCGAGCGCTGTGTGTAAAGCTTATTAAAAATAGGTTGACATTCAATTATTTCTGCGTAACATTCCTGAAAGGCTACGTTAAAATGACCAAATCACTCTCGTCAAATGGAAAATATGGAGGACAAAATAGTCATTTTAATATTGGCAAGCGGCTAGTGGGGATTGAATCTTGAGGAGGGATCTGCAATAACCCATTCCTTAGGGATCTTAATCGCATCCTCCAGAGAATGGTGGCCCTGTTCTCAAAGATGATCGAAACCATCTATTCTCCGTTCTGTCAAACTCGATGGTCAGGATCATCCTGGGGCATCGCTCCAGCTCGAGCACCGGCTAACGGAGGCCGCTCAGTCCCCGTTGATCCCGCACGTGGAAATCATGCCATCGCGCATCACAGGACCGCCACGTACGCATCAATGTTCGTGCATTCACGACCGTGGCAGAGTAGCGGCTAACGTACGCCGCTCTCGAGGTCCTCTTTTGCTGCAACGCCCCCGTGAATCGATGAAATCCGAGAGACTGAGTAGAATGATATAAACATTGGTCGGTTACGAGGACTTGTAATTATCATTTTTCTCCCAGGGAATGAGACGAGATCAAGTCTCGCCAACAAACACCTCCCCCACACCGTCCATCTCGCCCTCGTAACCCCGCCTCTCCGATTCCGATCGCCTCCGCCGGCCACAAGGATTCAATCCGATCCCTTCGATTCCTATCTGAAGGCCCTCCGATCGCCGTCCGGATCCCTGCTCCCTCGCTGCCGCCTTCGCCACCGCCACCGCCATCGCCCACGGTCCCTTCGCCTCCTGTCCGCCTCGGATCCCTCGGCCGCCGTGGATGGAGAGATCGAGGAGAGTCGGATCCGCGAGGCTTTGCTGCTGAGGAGAGGGGTTGAGAGGAGAAGATGCCCGGCCTCTCGACGAGGAGTGCTCAATTCGGCAGTGCCCCGCCGCCCGTCCGATCCGCCTCCCCCGACGGCATCTGGTCCAAGCACCTTGATAGCATCACCTTCGATCAGCTGCACAAGGTAATCCGTCGGATCGACGGTTTTGGTGTTGCTTTGGGTTGTTGTCGGTTGTGCCTAGTCCTTGATCCGGTTTTGGTCTGGATCATTTTGTTCTTCTTTTTTTTCTGTGAGGTGTGCATTGATTGTTTGAGTTCTTCATGCGAATCGATCTAGTTTTGTTTCAAGCTTGTTTTGATTGGATTGGATTAGGAATTCAATTTTGCATCATATAATGCGCTTCCTTTATGAAAAAATGGCCCAAGACCTAGGGCCGAAGCAAGAAATTATTAGCATATCCGAATGTGTTCACTGTATGCTTAGTACAAATTCGGAACCAACAGTCTGTTTTGCTTGTGGTTGATAAATATTAATTGCTGAATAGACTGGCATGCATCTTTTAACATTCAGTGAACGATGAACAGAGAAAATAAACGATGTCTAATTTGCAACTCCTATGTTATTGATAGAGAAATTCACCAACTGAGAAAATTTTGTTTTCTGTTTGTTCTTGGTTAATGAATTTATTATTTTATTCTTATATTCTAAGCATTAATATTTTCATCAATGCAATTGAATTAGTTTTGGAGTGAGCTACCACTTCGTGCACGAAAGGAACTGCTGAGGCTAGATAAACAGACCCTATTTGAACAAGCTAGGAGGAACCTCTACTGTTCAAGGTGTAATGGGTTGCTTCTGGAAGGCTTCTCACAGATAATCACTTATGGGAAGTCATTGCAGCAGGAAGATCCCAGCTTTCAGCAATCTGATAGAGCTGGGACCCCCCAATCCCAGAACACCAATGATTTTGAGGTGCTGGATCCATCGTTGCATCCCTGGGGAGGCCTGACAACGACTAAGCATGGAATTCTGACAGTTCTCGACTGCTTTATGTGTGCAAGATCACTGAAGACACTCCAAAATGTATGCATGCCATGCTATTGTGATCCTTTCTGAAACATAATTTTATGTTTCAAACAATCAAATTGCTGATTATCTTTTTTCATATTTAATGTCTGTAAACTTTTCAGATCCTCTTTATCTGTGAAGTTTTCTCTTTCTTACTCCTGGTCTTCTATTGCATGCTTTTCTACATATATCTTTAATCTGGTTAGGCTTTTGTAGTTAATGCTGAATCCCACCAAGAATGTTATTAGTTTCAAAATGGTAGACTAAGATTCCATATGAGTTGCCGACTTTCTTTTCTTATTATTATATTCTGGAAATGCATGGCCTTTCATTTTTTGGTCGTTCTGTAGGTATTCGATAATGCTCAAGCTAGGGAACGTGAACGGGAATTGCTTTACCCTGATGCATGTGGTGTCGGAGGCAGGGGTTGGATAAGCCAAGGGATGGCTAATTATGGTAGGGGGCATGGACATGGAGCCCGCGAAACCTGTGCTTTGCATACTGCAAGGCTTTCATGCGATACACTTGTGGATTTCTGGTCTGCCCTAGGTGAGGAAACTAGATCATCCCTCTTGCGGATGAAGGAGGAGGATTTCATCGAGAGGCTTATGTACAGGTGGGATTTTTTTTTGTTTTCCTTTAAGTTTTGGCTTTCTTTTTGGGAACTTCTTTTTCATAGTGGATAAATGATTTGATAATTTAGTATCAAAATAGAAAAGAAAGGAGTTGGTTTGGTCCTTAGTTGCTATAAACATAGTAGTACACAAATCCTTACATTTATGGTCTAAAAAGTATTTAGATAAAATAATGTTGCTATAGCTTATAGCTTTTAATATTGTTCCACCAAAGAATCTAAGTAATTTGATAGTTGGTTTTGGTACAGAAGATATTCTTTTGAATGAAAAAAGGAAAAAGGGAGGCCTTTGCTAGACTGAACCGCAGAACCTTTAAGATCAAGCTTATGCATATTGTATGTCGAAGTATAGGATCCTAAGTGTGTTTCCAATGGAAACAGAGCAGAAAATGAAGCTTTTATGTACAAGATTTTTGGCTCTTAGGTCGACAATGACATTAAATACAAATAGCTGAAACCAACTGTAGGTGTATTTGGTTGCAGAAAATTGAAAATGGAAAAGGATTTTAGGAGATAAGTCAGGTCAGCAAAGGGAAATGAATACAGTGTTTTGAAAAACACTAGGCGCTATGGTTCTAAAATACCCGAGGCGCTAAGCCCTCGCCCAAGAGAAGCGAAGTGCTCTCGAATATTAAAATATAAAAAATATATATTACAATTGATAAATATGATTTAAAATGAAATCTCATCAAATATTTCTTATGGAAGCCAATTTAAATTTTGTCATATATTAGAGGAACCTATTGGTGCAAGGTCAACTAATTTAAATTTTATCAAATTGGTATGTTGTTGATATTGTTTTAACTAGTGAAATTACAAAAAATCATAATATAAGATAAAATCAACTTTCCCGTTAGGGGCAAGTTTGCAGCTTCTTGTTGATGATGGCGAAGGAATTTTTGAAAATGTCCCTCGTTGGCGGAGGGAGTTGCGCACGAAGGCAGCGGCGGTGGAAGAAGCTGTGGATGGCAACGTTGGCGGAGGGAGCTGCGCATGAGAAAAGCAGTGGCGGAGGAAGTCTGATGAATGGGATTGGGAAGTCGATGGCAGAGGGAGTTGCGCACGAAGGCAGTAGCGACGTACCAGAGGTGGGTCAGGCGGCGACATAGGTCTAGGGTTTCACTGGGTCAGTGGTGTCGAGGGGCGGGGGTGGGGGGGGTTTGGGGTTGGGGTTCAGTGATAGGTTTAGTTGGTTTGATTGAACCAAGCTACATGTTCAACGGGAACGACGCTCACATTCACTACAGAACTCGCCCGAGGCGCTCGGTGCCTAGGCTCAGGTGACCACCCAAACGATGCTTTAGTGAAGCATGTCACCCAGATTATGTGAGGCACTCGGGCCTTGCCTCACTTCAGTGCCCAGGTTGTCACGAACGGTCGTCGTGCACTCGCAACAACTTCGTTCAACGAATCGTTTGTCACTTTTGCATGCTTGTACAGAGACATGGCAGCTTGTTTTGCCTTAGTTTTGTGTGTTTTTACTTGTAAAACGCATGTTCGAACAGGTTGCACTGTTGTCGTGCGACCGCTCGCTGCGCCGGGCCGAAATGCCCCAAAATAGCTCCATTTTCGCGTGCCATGGCTTGTTTTCTGCAAGCCGCAGCAGCACACCAAAACATTAGCCATCTCAGCACCTTGGAACCACCCGGGTGGCACAGGGCTGGATGAGGCTTCGGTATATTGTCGGGCGTTGGAAAAATCTTCAAAAGTTCACACATTAACTTGGCAGGAACTTGCCTTCGCACCTGGCACCCGGTGAGCAGTTGTTTGTGGGCTTGCAACTATTCGTTCTACCTTCTAAAGTCTTTGTTTTCTCCTTCCTCTCTTTTCTCTCTTGCACTCAAGGTGCTTGTTGAATTGCTTGTAAAGCTTCCCTCTTCGCGAGACATCGGGACTTGTCCGTTGTAAAGTAGCGGTTTTCAATCTAATCAACTTTTTGTTTTACAGGTCCTTCGGGACCTGTACAAGGTTACAACTAGGCTGAACCTTTGCAGATGCATATGTTGTAAGGGCGCCTCATGACTTAGGCAATCCCAGCTACGTCCGAGAAGTTGGCGCAAGGGTGTATTGCGACTTAGGCAACTCAAGCTAAGTTCGTGACTTGACCACAAGGGTGCCTCACGGCTTAGGCAATTCCAGCTAAGTCCGTGGCAATATGGTATCAGAGAAGGCAAGCGATTCAAGCAAGCAACGAAGAAACTTCACAATCTCACCATGGCCAAGCATCGTGGCGAATCGAGCAAGGCGGGGCAAGTCGGACCATTGCCCCAAGCAATCGCAGGTGGGCTGCAAGTGCAAACTCGCTCTCATATTGGTGGAGCTACATTGGTGGATCGTGGTAGCAAACATGATGAGCGAGAAGTTGGCTACTCTTCGTGATCGGAGGAGGCGCAATCTGGAGCTCCAATCGGGAAGAGCCATAAGGAGAGACTCATAGTGGAGGAAACCTGCTTGGATGTTCTTGAAGGGAGCTTGAAGGAACTCTACCAAGGCCAACGAAGGCTTCTTGGGGTAGAGAGCTCGCAAGAAGAAGCTGAATCTCGAATCGACAAGGTTGAAGCCCTAGTCGATCGATTGACGGATGATACCAAAGACTTCGTGCAACATTTGCACGAAGTTGTGGCAGAACTCACTTCCAGAGTGGCAGCGCTCACAAGGGCACTAAATGCAGTAGGGAGCAACACCCGCGTTGTGCCGCCACAAAACTTGAGGGCACCTAAGCCTCATCGCTATTGAGGTGTTAGGGACACAAAAGAACTTGAGAATTTCTTGTTTGACATAAAATAATACTTTTCTGTGCTGATGCTGGACATACAAGACATGTCCGAGAAGGATAAGCTGTTCAGCTTCCTCGATGGCCTAAAACCATGAGCTCAACAGGAATTACTTTGAAGGAATGTCACCAATATGATCGGGGCAATTGCGGCTGCAGAAAGGCTCACCGACTTTGTTTCCTCGGAGGACTCGGGGAAAAGGAAACAATTTTCAAGAAATTGCCTTCCAAAATATTCTTGAGGGAAGGAGCCTGGGGGCGAACAAAGGAAGAAGAGTTCCCACAAAGGGCCAAGCTCAAAAGGCAAGGCCCTAAAACCTGGCGAATGCTTCTTGTGTGGAGGGTCGCACATGGTGAGAGAGTGCCTATAGAAATAGGCACTCAATGCTTTAATAGTTTCCATCCATCCCCCCAAATCAGACAAGGGTAAAGTCGTCGTCCTCAGTTCAAGTAGTTCTGAATCCAGCATCGACGATAAGGAGTCACAAGGTCTCCGAACGGGAGCAATGCGTTTGTTGAATGCATTGTGGGGTTAAGTGGGGGAGAACATGAAGGCAAAGCCATTGAAAGCAGGGAGTAGTGAATTGATGTACGTGGATATTAAGCTCAATGGCTAAACAACCCGTGCAATGGTGGACACGGGTGTTAGGATCGGAGCGGCACTAAGAGGGGGGGGGGGTGAATTAGTGCAGCGGATTAAAACGTTGGTTTCGACAAATCTTTCGTACGATAAAAACCGAACTTGAAAAGCTTAACTTGAACGTGTGTTCGTAAAGGTGTGCAGTAAAGGTAATGATGAAATAAAGCACGTAAGAAGGTTTGCAGTAATGTAAATAGCAATAAGAAAATGCAAACCAGAGATCACGCCGATTTTAAAGTGGTTCGGTCAAATGACCTACATCCACTTGCGAGGCCCTCTTCGATGAGGCTCCCACCTTCGACTAGCAAATCTCTTGAAAGGGAAGGGCAAATACCCCTCTTACAACCTTTTACAAGCAGTTCACACTCTTACAAATTTTCAGCAAGAAAGAAGGAGGTGAACAATCTAGCAAATTGAAAACAAGACTTGTTAAGACTTTTCTAAGACCTTTTTCTCAATCTTTGCTACTCAAAAAGTTATAATTTCAGCTGAGATTTGAGGAGTATTTATAGGCCTCAAAAGGATTCAAATTTGGGCTCCAAAATTTGAATTCTCTTTGGTTCCCGATGCTGGCGGTGCCACCGCCTGTCAGTGTCTGACACTGACAGTGGACTGGGGGTGCCACCGCCCAGCCAAGCGGTGCCACCGCTTGGCTCTCGGGTGCTGGGCGGTGCCACCGCCAGACCCTTCGGTTCACTGGTTGGGCTTTAATTTCAGCCCAAACCAAGTCTAATTTTGGGCCCAGTTGGCCCATAACCAGGATATATGATTATCTTTTAATCCTAATCCTAATTACATGTGAACTACATAACTTAAAACATCCTAAGCAACTTTTCAACGTCGAGTCTTGTTCCGGTGAGCTTTCTGACGAACTTCCGGCGGACTTCCGATATGCTCTCGGGTTTCTTCCGACGGACTCCCAGCAGCCTCCCGATCTTGTGACGACTTCAACGAGTAGCCGAGCCTTCTCGGTGATCTCCGCAAACCTCCGACGATCTCTTCAGCGAACTTCCGAAAATTCCGACAAGTTCCTGATTTCTTCTCGGTTGGTTCCGGCAACAACTCCGACGATTCTTCGGACTCTTAAATGTCCATCGAACTTGACTCCGGTATTCTTGCTTTATGTTTTCTGGTTATCGTAGTTAATCCTGCACACTTAACTCAATAATATGGATTAGATCAATTAACCCATCAATTGATTTTATCATCAAAATCCGAGATTCAACAATCTCCCCCTTTTTGATGATGACAATCAATTGATGACGGAGTTAAACATAACTCCCCCTATCTATATGCCATATTATGAGAAGATAAAAAACACTTGAATTCTATCCCATTGAATTCAAGCATAAACCGATAAGTTCTAACCGTAGAACTTATCGTTATTCTCATTAAGTAATAGTAAATACGAAACTTCGATGAAAATCATTTTCAAGTCAAATGATAAGGGACGATTTTTACTACGACAGGAGATAAAGATTTTCAACATGAATTTCATGATATAGATGTAAGGCATGCTTTTAATATGATCAATCAATCTTGCGATATTCTTAAAGATTTTACAAGGCA